TCAATCCGATTTCTGATGTATATCATGATCCATCCTCCCAGAGCATTCCTAGCCTCTGTGGAAAGACGATTCAGTGCACTGCTTACAACGGAGGCAAACGGAGAGGCTATGTTTAGACCTGGCTTGCCTCCTCGTTCGTGGCGACGCTGCTCCAGCCGGTGCAACCAACAACAAACCTGCCAGTCTTCGACCTCCTTGCGCGCCCTCAAGTTTTCGAAGCAGGCTGCGATAGGACCGATTCTCTACCCCTTGCAAAGTGCCTGCCCCGTCGAATTGATCAGCCTCTGTACTCCACATCTGCTGTCGAACAGTACGCCTGCGCTCACCAAAAAATTCTCAGGAACGTCAATGTCAGAACATACCAGTCGAAGTATCAACGCAGTACTCCCAGCTGTTCATCGTCCCCGTGTCGTCTGGGGGAACATTTCACTCTGATGGATTGATCGATCCGCATCCTGCTTCCAAAAAGTAAGTGATAACTGTGCCGTGCGGTCCTCGGATGACTATGCTTACGCTCGGCTGGCAATGGTCTGAGTTCATGAGCAAGTTGTTTCCGATACTGATTGAGACCAGATCTGATATTCGGCGAAGGAGGAGAGGAGGAGGAGGAGGAGCAAGGGGAGAATGAGGAGGAGGAGGAGGAAAAGGAGGAAGAGGAGGAGGAGGACGAGGAGGAGGAGAAGGAGGGGGCGCGCAGACCGATGCGCCCCCCACAACCGCCTAAGCGGGAGGAGGAGGTCCAGTTCTGACAAGGCCTCGGGCACCGACACCAATGTGTCGGGCCGAGGGAAGGGGAAAGCAGCGCCCAGCCTGACCGCGCCGCGTCGCGGCGCCTTGATGTATCTCGCCGTCCGCATGTGGAGGATGTAGGCGTATGTGGCGGGGGGGAGGCGACAGAAGACGGCGACGAGGGCGGGGCGCAAACAAATGTACTTACCTAGATCGGGAGCCGCGGCGTGGTCACCCTCACTCACGCCCTCAGCTGGGGCAGGCACGATGATCTTCACGCCAGCCTTGGGACGTAACCCCTTCTCGAGAAGTCTTCAGAGAGAGAGCGCGTTCCACGAGCATTTGCCTTGGGAATACTCGGCGGCGCGTTTCGAACCGGGGTGTGGGCCCCCCAAAAAAAAATTTCGGCGCTGTCGATCAGAACCAGGGGGACTCCCCTCCCCCCTGAGCCCCCCCCCTCCCGAACCCCCCCCCCCGCAGCGCCGGCGCCGGCGCTGGCGGCCGCCAGCAGCGCCGACGGCGGGGACGCAGTGACGATGACCAGAGACAGCTCAAGGGGGGGGGATCCAAATCCCCCCCCCCGCGCCGGCGCCGGCGCTGGCGCTGGCGCTGGCGGCGGCCAGCAGCGCCGACGGCGGGGACGCAGCGACGATTACCACCACTACCACCACCACTACCACCACCACCACCACGTCAATCCACCACCACCACCAACCCACCACACAACCACCACCACCGTCACAGCCACCACCACCAACACAACCACCACCACCACAACTCACCACCACCACGACCATTACAAATTCCCACCACCACTACTACCACCACCACCACAATCTACCACACCACCACCACCAACACCACTGCCACAACCACCACTACTATTACCAGCAGCACACCCCACCACCAAAAACCACCACACCACCACCGCCACCACCACCACTAGCACCACCTCCACAAACCACCGCCACCACCACAACCCACCACTACCACCACCACCGTCAACCACCACCACACCACCACCAAACCACCGCCACCACAACTCACCACCGCCACCACAAACCACCACCACAGCACCACGAATACACCACCACCACCACTTCTACCACCCACCATCACAGACCACCACCACCACACCAAACCACCACACCACCACCACAACCACAACCACCGCCACCACAACCACCACAACCCACCACCACCACCGCCACAAGCCTCCACCACACCACCACCACCACCCAACACCACAGCCACCACGAACACCACAACCACCACCATCACCACCACCACAACCACCACCACCGCCACCACCACCACAACCAGTATCACCACCACAACCACCACGACAAACTACCACGCCACCACCGCCGCCGCCATCACCACCATAACCCACCGTCGCCACAACTACCATCACCACCTCCAGAAATCACCGCAACACCACCGCCACCATCACCACCAGCACCACAACCTGCCACCACAACCACTAAAACCACCACCACCAACCACACCACCACCACTACCACCACCACCACCGCCACCACCACCACCACAGCCCACCACCACCACTACCACCACCACCACCACCACCACCACCACCACCACCACCACCACCACCACCACCACCACCACCACCACCTCAGAGAGGCCCGAAGGGATGCCCAAGAGGCGCCCAGGAGGCTGCACGTATACCCTTCAGAGGCCCCCGAAAGCCCTCCGACGAGACCCCAAGAGACATCCATTAGGACCCTGACCCAAAACCAAGGCACGGTGGCGGAGCGGCGTCGGCGTCGTCATCGTCGTCGTCGCCGTCGTCCTCGTCGACCCCCCCCGCCGCCGCCCGCCGCCGCAGGCGCCGACTCCAGCCCAGAAAAGGAAACCGTCGTCCCCGCCGCCGCCAGCCCCCGTCGACGCAGGCGCTGGCCCGAGGAGAGGGAGAGAGGAGAAGTAGGGGAGGAGGGGGAGGGGAAATGGGGGGTGGGTCCGGTTTCGCTTCCCCCTCCAAGCTACCGCGAGGGCGAGTGGCCCGAGGGCGAAGACGTCGTGCCCCAGGTCGGCAAAACAAGGGCTCCCACGAGGGCGCGAAGTTATTTGCGCTTCGCGCTTCGCGGTCCTCGTTCCTTCTCCTCCTCCTCCTCCTCCTCCTCCTCCTTTTCTCCCTTGGGGGGGGTCGTCGCGAGAGCGTGAAGTTATTCGCGGTTCGCGGAGCGCGAAGCGCGAAGTTGGGAGCCCTAGCCCAAGGAGTGGGCGCGGCAGGAGGTGGGCCCCCTGGAGGAGCGGGAGGCCCTTGGCTTGCTCTCGATCCCTGGCGACTCTGTGGATCGGGGGCGCTTGTAGTAATTAGCCACCTGGCAGCCTGCCTGCTCCGCCCGCGTTCGAGACCGAGTTCGAGGCGCCCGTTTTGCGCGCCTGCCTGTGTGCAGGAGCTGCTGACGCTACAGGTGCTTGTGTGCCTAGCATTCAGTGGGGCGTGTCCCTCTACAGGGGGAAATTCAAAAATAGTCAAAAATAGTATGTGGACGATCTTCTTTTCAATCGAATTTTAAAATCGTCCAACATCGGCATGTAAGGGGACATGCCTGACCTAAGCCTGGCAGCTTGTCCAAGAAGAGGCCCTTGGACTCCAGACCCCTGAGCTTCAGCTTCCTGGGCCTTGTCGCCCGCGCCCAGATCGGCGGCGATCCCTTGGGAGGAAGTGAGAAGGGCCAGCCTTTTCGGAAGGCTCAGAAGTCCTCCGGCCTTTTGAAAAAACTTCCTAAGATCGAAGAGCAAAAACACATAAGCACAAACTTTCGGTGTTCCGCGCGGATTTCTCGGATCCGCGGTGGGGCCCCCTGGCGGCGCCTCCGGCGCCGCCCCTGGCGCGCGGAGCGCGCCAGGGAGGGGGGCCCAGCGCAAATCCAAGAAGGCCGCGCGGAACGCCAAAAATTTGTGTTTACATGTCTCTCTCTTCTCTTAAAGCCATCCCCACAGCTCCCCAGGAAGCCGGAGGGCTTCCGAGAAGCCCCGCCGCCTTTTTGAGAGGGCCTTCTCCTTCTCGCTTGCCCCCCCTTTGCTCGCTGCCGACCCTGAGACTCGGCCTCCTGGGCCTCGTCGGCCGCGCCCAGAGCAACCTTCACGGCTTCGTAGCGAAGCGCCGACAGCGACGTACCGCTGCGACGAAACCGCTCGTCGCATACGTGTCGCTGGGTGGGAGAGGGCAGGCGCCTTCGCGTCTCGCATCGTCTAGCGGTGAGCGAGCATGGCCTTGGGAGGGATGGCATTCCTGGAATACCGTCCACGGTGGCGACACCGCCACCCACCTTGATAAGGCCCAGTTCATTGACCCCCCCCGTTAAGTTTTGTTACGTGCGTCGCCCGTGCGTCGCCCGTGAGCCAGCCCTGTTTTGCGCATCTGTCCCCAATCCTGGCCTCCCAGAGTGCGCGGGAGACATTTGGCGCGACTTCTAGATTTCGTTGGCGACATATTGGTTTCCGTGCAGCAGCAAGCACCAGCCCAGAGAGGTGAGTCTCACCTGTCTGGGTACAGTGCACAAGCTCGTGTGGTATGACGGTGATAGCCGAGGAAGCGGGAGCCAGCCTGGAGCGAAGGGGGGTGGGCGTCGGGGTCCATCACCGTCCCTTTCTGGGCCTCAACCGTGCGTTGGGCAGCCCAGACGATACATTGGATAGCGGGCCGATGGTAGGCTAACTCGCCCGCGACAGCCTTGCAGAACGTCCTCGGCAAACGTATGCCGTGAGTTTGGGGGAGAAGGAGGAGGAAAAGGGGGAGGAGGAAGAGTAGGAGGAGGAGGAGGACGAGGAGGAGGAGGAGGAGGAGGAAGAGAAGGAGGAGGAAGAGAAGGAGGAGAAAGAGAAGGAGGAAAAGGAAGTAGGAGGAAGAGGAGGAGGAAAAGGAAGAGGAAAAGGAAGAGGAAGAGGACGAGGACGAGGAGGAGGAGGAGGAGGAGGAGGAGCAGGAGGAGGACGAGAAGGAGCAGGAGCAGGAAAAGGAGGAGCAGGAGGAGCAGGAGCACGAGCAGGAGCAGGAGCAGGAGGAGGATGAGGATGAGGAGGAGGAAGGGGAGGAGGAAAAGGGAGGCGGCGGCGGCGGAGGAACAGGAGGCGGAGGAGGTCGGGAGGGATGCAGGGAGGGAGGGAGGAAGGGATGCGGAGGAGGAGGAGGAGGAGGAGGAGGAGGAGGAGGAGGAGGACGAGGACGAGGAGGAGGAGGAGGAGGAGGAGGAGGCTGAGGTCTCTGCCGTGCCTGAGAGCCGAGCGCCCGCAGTGGTCAGGAGGAGATCGACGCGCTGCAGGACGCCTTCCAGGCCCGCGCCTCCCGTCGCCCCGCCCCTCAGGGGCAGCGTTGCGACTTGGCATCGCTCGGACGTGTGCATTTCTCTTCGGCGCGGACCATCGAGAAGCATCCTGGATCATGTTGCGGAAGGAGAGCACGCACGAAACCGATGCTTGCACGGGGGATGCGCGTCCGAGCGATGGCAAGACGAGGGGTCTCCGATGCATCCCCGATGCTCGACGGCGAGCGAGGGGGGGAAGTGAGGAGAAGGCCTTCTCAGAAGGCGGCGGGACTTCTCAGAGGCCCTCGCGCCTTTGAAGTGTAATTCATTGGCTTACGCCACACCGCCGACCCCTTGGGGCGGCAGCAATCGTCCCCCGCGTGGTCTGTCCGGACAGCCTGTGAGGCCCCTCTAGACACGTTTTGGGACCCTCTTAGGACCGTCCTGCCGTTCCCCCGGGCCGTTGATATGGTTTCTGGGGCCTTCGTGGGGCGCCCAGAGGCCGCCGTGGAGCCTTTTGGAGTCTCTTGGGGTGCCCGAGGTCGATCTTGGAGGTTCACTGGGCCGTTGTGGGCCTCGTGGAAGACCAAGAAGCGAATATGCTAAAAATGTACGTTTTCCCTTGGGAGTGGGACGGTTTTTGCTTCTGGAGGCCTGCTTGGAGCGCCTCATGGTCGCGTATGCAAACGTCTTGGACGCCCATGGGGCTGTGTGGAGGCAATCTTGGGCGGTTTGGACCGAAACGTCTCCCGCGTGGGCCGTCTGGACAGCCTTTGGGAGCCCTCTTGGCCCGTTCTGGAGTCCTTTTGGGACCGTCCTGCGGCTTTCCTGGGCCGTTGCTATGGTTTCTGGAGCCTTCGTGGATCGCCTGGAAGCCGTCTTGGAGCCTTCTTGGGAGCCTCTTCGGGTGACAGGGGTCGATCTTGGAGGTTTATTGGGCCGTTGTGGGCCTCGTGGAAGCCCAAGAAGCGAATATGCTGAAAATGTACGTTTTCCCTTGGGCATGGGATGCTTTTTTCTTGTGTAGGCCTTCTTGGAGCGCCTCGCGGTCGCGTTCTCAAGCGTCTTGGACACTCATGGGGCCGTCTGGTGGCGATCTTGGGCGGTTTGGACCGAATCGTCCCCCGCGTGGGCCGTCCGGACAGCCTTTGGGGGCCCTCTTGCCCGGTTTTGGAGCCCTCTTGGGACCGTCCCGCGGCTTTCCTAAGCCGTTGCTATGGTTTTTGGGGCCTTCGCGCATCGCCCGGACGCCGTCTTGGAGCCTTTTCAGGAGCCTCTTGGGCTGGAGAGGGTCGGTCTTGGAGGCTTCTTGGCTCGTTTTGCGCCGCGTGGAAGCCGAATGGGCGAATGTGGTGAGAATGTACGTTTTTTTCTAGGGAATGAGAAGGCCCGCCCGCCCCTTCTCATTCCCCACGGCATCACCTGAACATACTAATACTGTACAAGGTGTGCGTCGCCCCCCCCCCCCCAGGGTCGACGCGCGCGCGCCGAGAGTTCTCGTAGTGTATGTTTCGTGGCAGGCGCTTTCTGGCCGCACCGCCCGGGGTACTCTTCAAGATGGTTGTACTGTCTGCTCGGTTCGGGTGTGCGCCTCCGAGGAGGACGCACAGCACTGGCGTGTCCTTCTGCGTCCCAGCCTCCTCTCCTCCTCCTCCCTCCTCCTCCTCCTCCTCCTCCTCCTCCTCCTCCTCCTCCTCCTCCTCCTCCTCCTCCTCCTCCCCCTCCCTCCTCCCCTCCTCCTCCTCCTCCTCCTCCTCCTCCTCCTCCTCCTCCTCCTCCTCCTCCCCCTCCTCCTCCTCCTCCTCCTCCTCCTCCTCCCTCCTCCTCCTCTCCTCCTCCTCGTCCTCCTCGTCCTCCTCCTCCTCCTCCTCCTCCTCCTCCTCCTCCTCCTCCTCCTCCTCCTCCCCTCCCCCCCCTCCTCCTCCTGCTCCTCCTCCTCCTCCTCCCCCTCCTCCTCCTCCTCCTCCTCCTCCGCCTCCTCCTCCTCCTCCTCCTCCTCCTCCTCCTCTCCTCCTCCTCCTCCTCCTCCTCCTCCTCCTCCTCCTCCTCCTCCTCCTCCTCCTCCTCCTCCTCCTCCCCATCCGCCTCCTCCTCCTCCTCCTCCTCCTCCTTCTCCTCCTCCTCCTCCTCCCCTCCCTCCTCCTCCCTCCTCCTCCTCCTCCTCCTCCTCCTCCTCCTCCTCCTCCTCCTCCTCCTCCTCCCTCTCGATCTCTCGCACGCTCTCTCTCTCTCTCTCTCCAGCTCGCCGGCTCCTCCCGCCCAGGCCTGCGGGGCGGCGCCTCCGGGGGCAGGCCAGGCCAGGCCAGGCACGAGGCTGCAGGCCTTCGTTCGCTTTCTTCGGCCCTCGGCGGCTTGCCAGCCCCGGATGCGTCCCAACAGCCGCGCCTCGCCGAGGGCGCTCCAGGGGTGCCCTGAAGTCGGGCGTGTCCCTCTACAGGAGGAAAATTCAAAAACAGTCGAAAAATAGTCAGGGGACAATTTTTGAGCATTTTTTGTCTAATTGTTTTTTATTTGAGTGTTTTCAATTTTTCGCCCAAAGCCCGCCTGCAGGGGGACGCGCCTGACCTAGTTCCAGGGGTGCCCGGATCGTCCCGAGCAGCCGCTGGAGACGAGTTTCGACCCTGGGGGGGCGCAGCGACCCCCGATCGGCCATGGATCTCTGATGGTCCACCCCGCCCAGGACCGCGAGGCGTCGCTATCGAGGGCCCAATCTCCGATCTATCGGCGACGCATCGCCGATTCCAGGTCGACGCTTTCCCCCCCCCGTTGCCCCTCCTGGCCCGGGCGCAGCCAGGTCGCCGCCGGGCTGCCTCGGAAGGCAGCAGGTGCCCTGCGTCGCGGTCCGAAGGCCGCGGAGCGCGCCCTCCGAGGCGGGGCGTCGCGGCGGTGTAATCCGCGCGCGGCGCACCCGCGGGGGGCGGATCTCGTCGCCATGTCTGGGTTCGCCTCGAGGTTCAGGTCAGACCGCACCCAAGGAGAGGTCCGTGGAGTACAGTCAAGACGTTGCAGTGAGGACCACTTTGGGGTCAGGAGGGGCTCTGGTTTCCTGCTTGCTCTTCAGATCTAGGTCGGGGAGCCTACTCGAAGCCAATGCTCTTCGTGGCCAGACAAGCCCCCTCGTGCCTTATTCATCGCTCCTTCTGGTAGCCCGATGGCTAGTGGTATCGGGACGTTTTTTCACGATTTTTACGTATCCCCCACAGAAGGTAGTCCGCGCCTCATGCCGCTCGCGGCCCGAAGGCCCTTGAGCGCGCTCTCTGAGGCCCGAGATCTCCAGGAAGGTTCCGGACGGCTCCAGCCTCCAGGGGCGGGGCTCCCGAGGCATGTGGAGAGGCAGCAGGAGGAGGAGGAGCAGGAGCAGGAGGAGTTTTTGGACTTCGCGGTTGGGGGGGTGCGGGGCGCAAATTAGCCAACGCCAGCGCGAACGCCAATGTGTGCACTACTGGTGGGCCCGCAAGCGTCCTGGAAAACCAGCGTTGCCGACTTGCTCATCGTATCTACTCACCCGCAGTTCATTCATCATCATCATCATCATCATCATCATCATCATCATCATCATCATCATCATCATCATCATCATCATCATCATCATCACGTTCCAGGGGCCGTTTTCGGGCTCCGGAACCGTCAACAGACGAGCCAGGACGAAGTCGGGTCACCGTCGAGAGCCCCACGGGGCGCGTTCTCACATACAGTCAGAGCTCACAGTAAGGACGAATGGTTGTCCTTAGGGTCCCCTTGCGTCCTTGCCTCTGCGGCTCGTCCTTCGCGGTTTTCATTGGCCATCCTTTCAGGGTGCTGGCAGTCCGCCACCTAAGAGTACCAACTTCGGCGTCCAAGGCCCTGGCGTCCTTACCTCCCGTCCTTGCTAGATAGATTTCGACTGTAATCAGGAACGGGGGGTTTGGCTCAGCCCCTCCGTTCTCTCCCTCCTCTCCCCCCGTCGTGGGCGGATCGAGGACAGAGGTTCGAGGGCCCAGTTTTGCTGTTTTTTTCGGGGTGGGGGAGCTGACGTAGCGTCTAGAGGCTTCCAGGCCGTCTGGAGGTCTCTGGGGACCTGCAGGGCCTTCGTCCCTTTCCCCAGACTTTTGGGCGACCAGGCGAGTCGATAACACTTCGCTGTAATGCATTCGTTGTTTTTTGTTGTTGCTAGATACCGCCAATCCATCGCGCCAGCGCCGGACGGGACAGGCCCAAAGGTGGATTTTGAGATCTCAGGTAGGCCCTGGAAATCCCTAGGTCCTAGGTCGTCGGAGAGCGAGGAGGTTGAGGAGGGTGAGGAGTAGGAGGAGGAGGAGGAGGAGGAGGAGGAGGAGGAGGAGGAGGTGGAGAAGGAGGAGAAGGAGGAGGAAAGAGGGGAGGAGAGGAGGAGGAGGAGGAGGAGGAGGAGGAGGAGGAGGAGGAGGAGGAGCAGGAGGAGGAGGAGGAGGAGGAGGAGGACGAGATCAACCCTAGGATGCACCAACGATGCTGCAGAACACCTCCTGCCCCAGGTCCTCCCCCATCCCTAAGTCTCTGAAGGCGTGTCTTTTGTTCAGTGCGCGAGGCGCCCCGTGGCCCGTGGAAGAAACGACGGCCGCACGGGTTTGCCATGCGGGAGGGAGCCCCGTGCTGAGGAGGAGCCGGCCTGCATCCGTGCAGCCATGAGGACTGCACAGGGGCAGGGTCATGAGGCTCAAGTCGAAGCACAAACAAACCGTACAAGCATCGAAGAACGAACAAGTTCAAGCCGATGGACACACAAGTCTTGGCCGAAGAACAAACAGCGGATGGCCGCCAACAGTTGCTCTGCCTGGACACTGCCTTGATAGAGGAACCGGGAACTGCCGAAACATGATTTTTCGGAGGTCCACGCGGATTCCTTCGATCGGCGCTGGGCCCCCCTAGCGGCGCCTCTGGCGCCGCCCTTGGCGAGCTCCGCACGCCAGGGAGGGGGTTCACCGCCGATCGGAGAAGTCCGCATGGGCCTCCGAGACACGATGTCCAGGCAGTGCTTTGCTCCTCTGCCAAGGCGGTGTCCAGGCAGCGCC